AAATGTGAGTGTCTGACAATCACATGAATTCGCTGTGCATACGTTATTTATGTACACTGTGGGATCTTATTTCAAACGCTTGTTGTGTCGCATCTCTTAATGTTGCAGTGTAAAGGTAGTGAATATAGTGTCATTGTGATAATCCTGTTCCATAATATGCTCATTGGTCCTTAATATGAGTATGATTATGTGTTTAATATGATTTTGCGTGCCATTATGTGAAAATATGTGGTTTTGAATTTCTATCTATTCGCCGAGGAATATCTGTTTGATTATCTGTTTTGGAAATCAAATTGAAGGTCCTATCGGCCATCGGAACCGAAATTGATCGCGCCATTGTGATTGGCATAATTTTTAGAGCCTACGGTGAAATTTAATTGAAGAATTAATTCGAACCAGATTAAATTGATTAAATTAATGAACTAAGTGCCCAAATGTTTTATATTGAAATAATTGTGATTAGTGGGACTTTATGAGAGGCACTATACCCTCAACTCTTCTCCTTTGTTACATTTTGGGCTGATTTCAACTCTAAGAAAAAAGAGAGGGGTCGGCTAGAGAGAGAGGGAGAAGCAATTGGAGATTTGAGTGAGGAACTTGAGAAACTTGGAGATTCAACTAGAAATTGTGAAGAATTGAACCTCTAGGTAAGCACTTGACCTTGAATTCATAAGTTTGAAATTGTGATCTTGTAGGTTCAAGGGTTGTTTGTGGTCAAGAGCATGTATTGAGTTGGTTTTGTTGAATTGGAAGATTATATATACATGCATGTATATAATTGTCTTGAATTTGCATAATTGAGCTTGAATTACATGACTCATGTTGAATTTTGGTTGAAATCCATGTATTTGACCATCTTTTCATCATATGGGATGAGAATGAGGGTTATATGTCACATGCATGTACAATCCATGGGAGTAGAAGCTTTAAATGCATGAAGTTGTTATGTTGGTAATGAATTTGGTGGAAAATGAGCCATGCATGGATTTGATTTATGAAATTGAGCTTCAAAATGTTGTAATTTAGTGTTTGTACCATGTTAGTACATATATATATATGAAGTTTGAATCAAGATCATGCATTTGGAGCCTTTGAAATTGAAGTTGAAGTTCAAGATCACATTCTGGATTTTCCAGAATTTCAATGTCCGCTCAAGCGGGGAAACCGCCGCTCGAGCGTGAAATTCGTGCTCCCAGTATATTTTTGCAAGCATGATGTCCGCTCGAGCAGGGAAGTCCACGCTTAAGCAGGGAGCTATGTAGGATGGACTTCTGCTTGAGCGTCCAAGTTCCATGCTCGAGCGTAAAAATGGCATAACCAGTACTTTTACAGATCTCATGGGTCCGCTCGAGCGGGGAAGTCCACGCTCGAACGAGGACCCTGTTTCTGAAAATTTTGTATGATTGTTCTGTGTTTCGTTTTCCGTTCTCTTTCACTTGTAAGCACTCTTAGGCATGCATTAAGCATTGTAATTGAGTTAAAGAGATAAGAATGAAGTCTAAAGAGGAATATGTGAATTAGAGAACGGATTAAATCGTTTGTGACCCATATGTGTTTTATGATGTGTAGGGTCAAGCTCCAGGGCAAATCCACAAGCCGATCACTGCGAGTAATATCGATATTTTGAAGTTTGTCAATTGTCCAATTGCTTATTTCTTTATAAGTTTGCTAATTTGAATTATGGACAACCGATTGACATGGGCCGAAGGCCGATTGACATGGATAATTGGGCCGAAGGCCGATTGATATGAATGACTGGGTCGAAGGCCGACTGACATAAATGATTGGGCCAAAGGCCGATAGATATAAATGATTGGGCCAAAGGCCGATAGATATAAATGGTTAGGCCAAAGGCCGTCTACTGTAACTGTTTCAATGATTGCTTATGTATCTTCCTCATTTGATATTATTCACTAGGCATTCGCTCACGCTCATTCATGTACATGTAGGTGAGCCAAGGGACGTCCAAAACCAGTCCCGGTGAAATTGTGAGAAACAGTCGAAGTTTTGAAGAGTCAGCCCAAACGTCTCACGCATGAGACTCGTCTTCGCCCTTTTGTTGTCTTGTGTATTTTATCATGTTGGCGAGGAATTTGTATATACCTGTATATAGTTTTGATGGGTTGACTTAGACTTATATGATCCTGTCTGTACAGAACTTATGCTACTGTACTTCTGTTGTGAGTTATTAATGTATATATGTTTGGTTGTTTGGATGTACCATGTAAGCACAGCTCTATGGACAAAGATTTGAATTGCTTCCGTTTGGCCCCTTTACTCTGATGAGTTTTGCTTTATTTGGTTTGAGGCCGTAGGTAATCTCGTGATTACTGGTCGGTTATGGCCTTAACCCATAGGGACGGGTTCGGGTCATGACAGTCATGGTAGTGAATATTTGGACTGAATGTGTAGCTGGTTGTTAACAGGTGGTTGACGTATGCGCAGAGCTTTTGGTGAGTTATAATTCTGGTATTAGCTTTTGGTGAGCTTTTGGTCGACGTATGCGCAGAACTTTTTCAGTGGTATATGTCTGGTATGTGTTTCTTTTGACACGTGAGTTATAATTCTAGTATTAGGGTATGTTGTTGTTGTTTGAAGTTGTGGACATGTCGTGGAACGCAGGATATGGTGGTGAACATGAGTGATACGTCAAGGGATCGATACTTGGAGGCCAACTTCCGCGCATGCGTTGGTTGTAGATACTTATATTTCCCTATATGCCACAAAAGACACTGGACGTTAGTGGTGTACGATACATAAGATGGGTCGTGGAAACATTACAACCTGCTTATGTCACGCACTAGTTCGGAAGACATACATTACAACGTAGCATCAATTTTGTTATGTTTATCCTAAAACTATTATAGTAATAGCCTAATTTTCTAAATTTTCTGTAGAGTCGTGTTTGCATATGTCAATGGGGAGGCATTGTGTGAGACTTGATTCTTGGTTAATATAACAGAAACGAAATGTGCTGGATTACATTCGGCGAACATGCCTGGTAGCCGGGGACAATGCGATTGTTTGTACCGAAGACGGGAACATGGTGCTAGAAGCAGTTACTGATTGTCCACAACAGCAAGCAGATGCGTAAGTAATCTGAGTTTTCAAATTTTTTTCCACATTACATTGGATGCTATAGTTGATGACTTGTTTTTGACTGTGTGTTATGTCTATCCATGGCAGACCTGACTGTACAATCATCGTTTGTTACATAATGCGGCAATATGTACACAATGTCGGGATCCATAAGGCAATGGAAGGTACTACTTGCATCAGTGCACGTGCAACTATGGTGGAAGCTTTTGTGAATGACCCACAGAAAGGGCTGGAAGTCATGGGAGGCAAATAATGTGACTGGCGTTGAACTGTTATGTTTTTTTTTGTGTTGGAACTTTTTTGTTTTGTATGGACATGGTAATTGTCCTTCAGTTTAGTAAGACAAGCTGTGATGATACATTTGCTTCATATTAAAATTGAACTAGTGGTTTTTTGGGAGTTACCGGTCCCATGTGTCTGGGTTATATGGTCAATTTGCTGTCAACAAAATGCAATTTTTTGGTGATAATGTTTATGCTTATTTGGATATGTTTCTCTTACAAAAAGCTTTGTGAGTGCTTGTTTGCTTGACTGGTTGTTAATCAGACGATGTGTTTTTTGTGATGTAAAAAATGCAGACAATACTTGCCACAGTCCCTGAACTTTATCCAGGTTGACATCCGTAACAAAGGCAGTAGTTTCCGGAGTATGTAATGCGGAATGTGTAAAGTATACTTGTAGTGGAAGTCAGAATTATGAACGCAGTTATAACCTGATTATGACTTTGTTATGAATTAATGCGGTTAGAATGTAATTGGTGTAGGCTTGTGTTTGCAGTTTTATTGATTGTTTCTCGATGCTGGACATGAATGTGGCAAACCCACAAATGCATGTGACTTGTTAACCATGTGCAAGGATACTTTTGTATTAAATCCCCGTAGTGAGTCTCATGCCTCCATGTTGCATGGTCCATGTGCGTTTGAATAACATTCCCAGTGTGCTCGAACTTGTAAACATGGTTAGTAACGAAGAAGGTAAATATGAAAATTGAAAATCGCGTTCGTGCATGTCAACGTGTGGGATTATTCCAATTCTGGTGGTATAGCAGAAGTCAAATTTGCAATAAGCACATAATGTATTACAAATTCATGAAAAATGTATTCCAACAGAAAACATAATTTTTTTTTTTCACGTTAATTTGAAAATGAACTAACTAATATTATTGGTAACAACGGAAATTAAACGAAACCATAATATCCTTGTGGAGTAGGAAATCCAACAAAAAAAACATAACACCAACCATGAATCAAAGTAACCAAATTTAATTTTCAAACAAAATTGAAAACGAACTAACACATAATATTGATGACGACAGAAAATTAAAAAGAAAAAATAACACTTCCCAAATTAGCCAAATTTGTGTTGTACGTAAAATTGAAATAGGACAAGCACATAGGTTTTGCAATGTGGGTAATTAAAAGTGAATGTTAAAAACTAGTGGAAAGGGTTGGTAAACCAACATCAAAACACCACACGTGAAATCGGCTAACCACATTGCTATTTTCACATCAATTTTAAAACAAACACACACCAATGTTTGTTAAGGACGGAAAGTAAAACAAAATGTAACGGCATTGTGATATGAGTAAATATTAAAAAATTTAAACATAACACCAACCATCAATCAAAGTAACCAAATTTATTTTTCAGGCCAAATTGAAAACGAACTAACACATATTATTGATAACGACGGAAAATTGAAAAGAAAAAATAACACCAACCATGAATCGAACTAACCAAATTTATTTTGCATGCCAAATTGAAAACGAACTAACAAACGAACTAAAAATAAATAATAAAAGCCTTGTGGAATGGGTAATTTCAGCGCACAACTTGTGAACCTGTAATGGTTCGGTACATGTTTTCCTGTTATGATTTCCCAAACATCTGCAACAGCCACATCAGATCTGTTGCACTTCTTCACCTTTTGACGGTATCCTCTTTTTCTTTGGCCTGTCGGGTGGTCGCCGCACAGTCACAGGTAGAATACCATAATGTCCCGGAATGACCTGTGGTTTCTCAACTGTTGGTATCGGAAATATAGCTTCGGAGTATGATGATTGGTAGTTGGTGACGTAGAAATAAGGGTCAACCAACGCATTCAAATCACTGCCGCTGTTGCGGATAGCGACCACTACATGTTCGCAAGGAAGCCCATTGATCTGCCATTGGAAACATGAGCATGTACGCCTACCAATGTCCACCAGAACAGATAGGTGTGAGTGGACCTCGTACACGTCATTGTTGGACTGACTGACAGTCCATGATCTTCCTTTCTTGTACGCCATCTCTAGTTTGTATTCCATCTTCGGACATATTACACCAGCCCAGGAACTTGAAGCTCCCCTACGGTCGGACATCTGATTCATAATCTGTGTCCTAATTGCGTCAACCATTTGGGTGATTGGTAAATGGCGTGCTTTCTTTATCCAATTGTTAAATGATTCGGCAACGTTCGAACACATCTCACCATAACGGTTGCCCCTGTAAATTTGTGAGTTTGTTATCATATGTAATGTTCGATGTAATACGGAGAATAATAAGTCATGAACATGGTGGGGGAAAAAATTAAATGAAGTTGTTTACGTGTTCCGTTACCTAAAGTACGCGTTTTCCCAGTGGTGCGGCTTTAGATCTTGTAAGAAATTGACAGCGATGTGCCTTCCAGACTGTATGAACGCCTTTATTTTTTCATTAAATTCAGCAACGGTCGGTGCGTATGCACATTCCCGTAATTTACTTACCAATGCAATACGGTACAATTTGTTCACATATTTCATCTTATCCTTCAAATTCCTTTGTAAATGTTGCATACAAAAAGCGTGGTGGGCAGATTGGAAAACAGTAGGCAAAGATTCGATGATACCGACGTGTCGATCAGAAACAAATGTCAAGTTTCGATCCCTATCAACTACATTAGCTAGATTTTGTAAGAACCAAGCCCAATTCACTGCATTTTCAGAATCAACAATTGCAAATGCCACCAGGAATAGACCTGAAAAGAAGTTTAAAAAAAAAGAAAAAAAAAAAACGTTGATCAATCCCAGTAGCTCCACTGTGTGTGTAACACTCCAATGTGTGTATAATCAAACACAGCTTTTAGGAACCCACCATAACCATGTCATGCAAAACAAGTATGCAGAACATTACCTAGGTTGCCATCTTTTCCGGTAGCCACAAGCAGGTTGCCTTTAAATCTACCTTTCAGAAAAGTGCCATCGAGAAACAATAACGGACAACAGTGGTTAAACCCATCCATGCATGCTTTGAATGATATGAACAGCCTATTAAAACGACGTGTGTTGTGTTCATCGAAGTCAAGATTAATATAACTTTCGGGGTTGTATTCCATAACGGCGTCGCTGTACCAACGCAACTGGTCAAATGACACGGAATGATCGCCATAAAGTTCTTCTCTGGCCTTTTCAACACCCAACTAAGCTACACGGTAACTAATTTGCAACCCGTATGCTTTTTTGAAATCATATTTGACATCGGTAGGGCGAGTCAATGGATTGTCATGCACACGTTCCGCAATAACATCTACAACAAGCTCGGATCCCATCCTCAGGTTCCTGTCAGTGCGCACAGCAACCCCACATGTGTGGTCGTGACACCACTTCTTCAGATAAAAAAATCCATTCGCATTCAACACCCTCGCATGGATGGACCACAAACACCCCCTTGAGTCGCTAAATGTGCATTCCACCTTAATACAAACCAAGTCATTCTTTCAGAACCTAAATGGAAACCCACATTCGATGGCTTATTTGCTGAGTACCTTGCGAAATTCAGCTGGCCCACCCTCGAAACATTGCCCGATATGAGTTATGCCACCCGCCCAATCCGCCGACAATAATACCTTTCCTACGTGTTGGCAAAAATTAGGTAGCAAATCAGCCTCCTCATCAATATTTGTGACCATTTCCCCACCGTCCCCACCTATGTCATCGTGCCCATGTGTTAAACTACGTCCACGTTTGACACCCTAAGATGCACCACAAACTATTATATCGACATCAATGTGATCTAGCTGAAAAGACCTAGCAAGATATAACATGTTTTGGAAGTCTGCCTCGCTCTCCATTTTGAAATTATTGTAACCTGGGATCTTGAATGACAGGGAAACCGAAGTAGGCGTCAGTCCATCGAAACGTTCGCATACATGAGTGGTGAATCTGCTAAACGTTAAATCAGCACACACCACAACAACAACGTTCTTGTTATCGTACGAACACAACAACATTATACAGCCATCCATTCCTACACGGAAACAAGGAAAAAAATAAATTAAACATGCAAATCATGTTCATGAAGTATGTATTAAACGTATAACGTTACAAAGGTTTCCGCCGGCGCATATCCAACGAATCATTTTGCACTGTTATGTGAATGTCCCAACATGATAATCACACAACCCCACACTACAATTTCAGCAACCCCATTCCCCCACCCCCACAATCAAAAACAAAAGGAAAAAATAACAACTAACAATAAAACGAAATTGAAAAAAAATAAGAAAATACATTACCGTCGACGAACTCGGAAAATGCTGCACCACGGACTCCAGAACACAACCACAAGCGAATATAAAACTCAACCACACTTAGAACGCCTTGTCTCCCCCTCAATAAAAATTCTGATGAACCTTGCAATCCCTACAAATCTGGCAATATATGCTCTTCCATAACGTCCACACACCAACGTAATCGAAGGGATAAATATCAAACCCTCCCAAAAACGTATTCAAATACCAAACATAAAAGGGTACAAACGTCATGCACAACACAATTTCAAAAAAATAGGACTCCCACGTTTATTATTCTAGAAGGAGGACTTATTGATCTAAAACTCTCCCAAATGGGATTTTCCAATAATTTCCCCTTAATTATACCTTGATTATGATTCATCGTGATTTTAGTAATGACTTATCGTGGGACATGAGATTACTGTTGTGTCTCAATTTGAGGTTTATTATGGGTTTATTTTTATTATTCGAACCGTTTATTTTGTAGGATTCGTTGAATACTTCATGACTACCAAAAATTATATTAATCAGATATCAATAATTATGTGATCGGATTGTATATTTTTTATGTTTTTTCTCAAAAGAAAAACTTATTGTTTATTTTTTTTATGATAAATGTAATTCGATCATATAGTTATTGATATCCAATTAATATGGTTTTTAGTAAGTATGAAGTACTCAACGAACCCTACAAAAATGAACGATTTGAATCATAAAAATAAGCTTATAATAAACCTCAAATTGAAACACAACAATTACTGATTCATCATTTATTGTGATATTAATTATGATTCAAAGAAAAATTAATTATTCCTATGTTGTATTTGTTATAACTTTTTTTTAATTATGATAAAAAGTAATTTAATTATGATATTTATAATAAAACATGCAGAAAGTTCAGAGGCTATTTTTGTAATGGGCTAGATCCCTAATTTGATTTAGGGCGAATTATACTAATGGTCCTTATAATTTAGAACTTGTATTATTTTAGTTTTTGACTTTTTAATTGTGATATATTTGACCATGAATTTTGAATCTTGTTCCAAATAAGAACAAATGAAGATACAATTGCTCAATTTCAAGGGTAAAGTCGTCAATTTGATAAAATAAATACCAATTTGAAAAAAATAAATGTCAAAAAAATATTTTAAAATTTAAAAAAATTATTTGTACTCACTATAGATAAAATTATGTAAAATTGATAATTTTTTTACACATTTATTTAAGTTTTTTTACCAAATTAATTTTTGTTATGTGTTTGGTTGATGATCATATAATATGCGGTTGTTTTTATTTTCATTAAATTAGTTTATATTTTTCCGAAAGTCAAATATAGCGACAACATTAATATTATTAAACCAATCCATTTAATAAAAAAATTCAAAATTAAAAACATTTCATATATTAAATGTATCGATTACATATTAAAAACCTAACAACCTCCTATTACATGATCATCATCCAAACACATAATAAAATTTAATTTGGTAAAATAAATAAATAAATAAATGTGTAAAAGATTTATTAATTTTACATATTTTATCTTTGGTGGGCGGAAATAATTTTTTAAAATTTAAAAACATTTTTTTGACATTTATTTTTGTCAAATTAGTTTATATTTTATCAAATTGATGAATTTGCCTTTGAAATTGAGCAATGGTATCTTCAATTGTCCTTATTTAGATTAATATTTAAAATTTGGGATCAAATCTATCTATATATTTGATGATGCAACGTGTTTCAGATGGAACGGGTCGGATTGATCCACGCTTCCCAAATCGGTGCCCGAGGTACCAAGCCCATTGAGAGACCTGCACAAGAGTTCAATGGGAAACGGGGAGTCCCCCAGCGAACCCTCCGACGAGCAAGTTAGAAAGAGAGATGGAAAGTAGAGATAGATTAGTGATAGAAAAGCTTAACCCTTTCCTTGTCTTCAATGCCTGCTTATATCCTCTGCTAATCATTTCGTTATCCTTTCCGACCTGTCACCTTGGCCAAAAGTCTATACTATAGCTTACCTTGTTCATGGTGAGGCCGTTCTGTCCTGACGGGGAAGGGTTATCGCAGTAAATGCTGCAGGAAAGCTCATTAATGGCTGATGTGTGGTGCAATAACTTTGCAGGATCTTTGTCTGCTGATGTGGGTGATTTCTCTACTTGCCAAGTGTTTAGATGTCATTGGTGTTTGGTGCAACGCTGGGTTTCACGAGTGTTGGGCTTTAGTATTTAAATCATGTATTGGACCTTAGGTGGTGGGCCATATCCTTTATGGGCTTACCTATGTCAGTAGTCCCCCATTTCCAAGTGTAGCTTTAGTCCAACGAAGGGAATAATGAAGAAAACGAGGGTTTTAAGATACTGGCGGGGCGAAGACCGACCAAGAGGTGGGCCGACGGCGAGGGGTGACCGAGTGGAGGAACCGACCATGAGGAGGGCCGACTGTGAAGGGTGACCTAGTGGAGGGACTGACCGTGAGGAAGGCCAACTGCGAAGGGTGACCGAGTGGAGGGACCGACAGTGAGGAGGGCCGACCGCGAAGGGTGACCGAGTGGAGGGACCGACCGTAAGGGGGCTGACTGCGAAGGGTGACCGAGTAGAGGGAGAGCCGACCGCGAAGGGTGACCACGTGGAGGGAGAAGTGGTGGTGCGCGGGGCTCGAGGAGTGGCAGGACACGTGGTGATTTGAAGTGGAAAAGACATGGTAAGGGAAGGGGGCAGTGGATCGTGGTCGTACACATGGCGGAATCCCGTAATGGGGGAGGTTAGGTGTTGGGCAAGAAACGAAGGGGTAGGTTAACATAGGGCGTTGAAAAAGTAGTTTTGGCAGATTTTTGAAAATTTTCAAACTGGCAAAATTTAATCGTGACCCTTGGAATACAGGCAAGCCTTGGGCTTTTGATGTTATCCGCTTTATCTATCTTTTTGCAAAAAACCAAAGCGTTCCAAAAGTAAACTCGTTTGTTTCCAGTGATACACCTCTACAACATTTTGTGAACTTTCTTGTGCCCGTGTCCGAAGCCATTCGCAGACACACAAGAGAAATGGCCCAAGAGGAAGTAGCAATTGCAAGGCTTGATTTGTTAGGCGATGACGATGAGGTGGAGTTGGCGGAATAGTACCGTACGGAGCGAAGGGAGGAGGAGTAGTTAGTCAGGCAGTGCAGGCTCGTCCTAGGACGATGATTGCGACCACGAAACCTATTAGTCAAGTGGAGCGGGACCACTGGCACACGAAGGCTGATAAATCGGCATGTACAACGGAGGAGTTGGAGGAGATGTGCGAGAGGTATCAGATTCCCGCAGAGATAGAGTTGAAATTACCGACGACGAAGGAGAGGCCGTCTGACGTTTGACTGGGGGAGTTTGCCCTCTACGAAGAGGCGCTAAAGGGGGGGTTGAGGTTGCCGCTTCCTCGGATAGTAGTGGACGTGTTGAATCGACTGGAGGTGGTTCCGGGGCAACTGATGCCCAATGCGTGGAAGATTTTATTGGCCTGTGCAAATGCGTGGCCGCGGGCAAACGAGGGGGCTGCAATGACGGTGGATGAGTTTTTTGCAGTTATAAGGCTTCGTGCTAGCAAGAGACTTGGGTCACTTTACAAGCGGCGGCAGGGAAGGGTCTGGTGGCGGGGTTACCATTGTCAGTGAAAGGGTGGAGGCCACAGTAGTTCTATGTGTCCGCCAACGGGGAAGTAGGAGTGCGCACGGTGTGGAAGGTGCCAACCAAGTCGGTTGAGCCAAGGTTGGAGGCGGAGGTAGAGGAGAGGATGAAAAAAGTGAAGGCATGGAGAGAGCATGAGGGTGCCAAGTGGGATGACTTTGTTCAGCCCTCAGCCTTGTTTGACTCAAGGCTGGGCCTTCAGCCGACCGGTGGAGATCTTGTGCCGGCAGAACTAGAGGCGAGGAGGAAAAGACAAGAGGCGGAGGACAGAACCACCTTTGCCAAGGCCGATCAGTACAAAGAGGCCAAGTTAGGCCGACCGCCCAAACTGATCGTAAGGAAACGAGTCCGACTGCGCCCCAAGCCGCTGAGGGAGAAGGACCTGAGCGATTTTGAGCCACGACTACCTCCAGTGGATCCTCTGAAGGAAAAGCGCAAAAAAGAGGTGAAGGTTGTGTTGAAGAAGAAGAAGAAAGTACAGAAAAGAGAGGAGGGGCCAGCCTTGAAGAGGATGAAGGAAGGGATGGCAGAGGGGACCCCCGAAGTGGAGTTGAAGGGAACAGTGAAGGGGATGAGAATGCCTTGGGCCCCGAAACACAAGTGGAAGGTGGGGCGACTGGCCCTAAGCAGGGGACAGAGCAACAGCCCAACGGGGGTCCTGTACCCCAAGGAAAAGGAGAGAAGGCCAGGTTGAAGATTGCCATTTACCACGCTCCAGCAGTGTCTGGGCAACTGGAGGGAGAAGGAGGTGAAGCTAGGACTGCTGCAGATCGGCTCTTGGGAGTAGTGGAGGATGCGGCCGTGCATTCGATGGCAAGTTTCACAGAGGCCGAACTGCTAAGGGGGCTGTGCTCGGCCCAGATGGAAGCGACGGCCTTAACAGGAGCTTTACTGAACAAAGCGGCGCATGCAAAAGGCGAAATCAAGCCACTGGAGGCAAAGTTGGAGGAGGTGAAGGCCCAGCTTGAAAGTTTAAGGAGGGAGACCGGGGGCTGGAGGAAAGCCGCGCGGAGCGCGTGTGTTAGGGGGCCGGAGTATGCCCAGAATGCTAAGAAGATAGAGGTGTTGGCAATGGTGCAGGGCTATTCAGCAGACCGTGCTAATGCTGAGCTGCTCGCGACCAAGTTAGAGTTGGAGACAGAACACCGCAAGGTGTTGTCGCTCGAGTTCCAGTTGGCTGGCAAGCAGAAGAAGCTGGAAGAGGCCCAGAAAGCCTGCACCGTCGCCAACGGAAGGTGGGATGAGGCCATGGTCTGCAATGACCATCTACGCGCTCAGTCGATCAAAGAAAAGGAAGAAGCAGATCAGAAGATCGCTGAGTTGAAGAGGGCGCTGGCGAACGAGCGGCCTAGACTGGCGGTCGAGAAGGCAGAGATGGAGAAGGCCCTGGTCAGCGAGAGGGCTAAATCAGTGGCTGAGAAAGCAGGGTTGGAGAAGACCTTGGAAGAGGAGAGGGCCAAGATGGCATCTGAGAGGGCGGCGTACCCCAACCTATGTGTTGCAGCAGTAGAGCAGTTCAAGGGGTCCGTCGATTTCCAGATGGCTATTGATGCCGCTATCGCCAACAACTTGGCGAGAGAAGGGGATAAGGGGGCTGGCCCGTTGGGAGCGACCGCTGGAAGTAGGAGTGAAGAGGAAGTGATCCAGAGCTTCCAGCGGTCGGACTTCTACAAGCATGAGATGGCTGAGTTCTGGGACAGCGGCTAGAAGACGTTTAAGCGTAA